GTGGTTGGGTGCTCTGTGGTGGTTGGGTGCTCTGTGGTGGTTGGGTGCTCTGTGGTGGTTTAGTGGTTTGTTCCAGATCTTTCCTTTGGTTAATTCAGTATTTATTGGTTGTTATGTTGATTGGTAGACTTGTGGATGTTAGAAAACCTCTCCTGGTTTTCAAACGTATTGGGGCTGATGTGTGGGTACATAATGGTAGTAGTTTGGTGTGTCAGGCTTTGGTGAGCTTGGGAATTTTCTTTTTAGCATGAATATATCTGCCCCAAGCGGTAGCACCGTCTACAGCTGTGGAGTAGCACAAAGCTAAAGCAGAGACAGGTGGGCAGGTAGAGCAAAGTGTCATCGACATAAAGTAAACCAAAGTCATGTATCTGGAAAATATCACCAAGAGGAAGAAAAGCACAGGGAAGTGGGGACACCAGAAGAGATGAGGGAAGGATGGGATGTAGATGATTTGAGTTGGACCATCTGAGTCCAGCAAAATAAATATTTAAACCATGACTCTCAACTATTGCCAAAAACAAAATATGACCTCAAAGTTTTACTGAGTTACAGCAGCATCAGTTTGACCAGAACCTCATTAGCTGTAGGAATGAGAATTTCCTGAAAGTTTTGTTTAAAATGTCCATCAGTTCACAAGATATTGACAGAACTACAGACATGTTTGTGTTTTTGGCAGAAACCAACAAAAAGTGGTAGAAAGTTAGAAAAGACCAGCCAAAACACTAAAACGTTTCCAACACCACAAATAAACGGAAACCCTGCAGGACGTTCATGAACACAAACCGTTCTTCCAACTCAAACCGTTGATGTCCAGAGATGTTAAAGCAGAGATCTGTGTTCAGATGTTTATTTGAGCCTGAATAACAGGAGACTCAAGACTTCCAGGCGATTCGGTTCTGTTGGACGTGATGATTACATCATTGTTATCTCAGCTCAAACAAACATCCTGTTTTAACATTAATGAAATGAAGGAACTGATGTGACAAACTGCAGGTTCAGTGATTATTGTTGATCCTATCAGCTGAGAGGATCTACAGTTGATCTCCAACGGCAGCACTGAAACTCATCCACCTCTGCGGTTATGTCATCAGACGGTTCTGACAGGTTTACTTAAGAAGATTTAACCTGACAGGTCGTGTTTATCTTGTTGTGCATTAGCTGATGTAATCTGAGGCTGAGTGAAGTGAAGGACTCGTTTAAAAGTGTCTTCAGAGACAACGGCGAAGACGGAAGTTTGCAGCTGAGTTTAGGAGGAACACTCGAGAAATTATTCAGTGGTCAGAACAGGAAGACGCCAACAGAACCAAAAAGCAGAGACGAGACCACGTTGTTCCCAAACAAGACCGTCCTCTCCACAAACACCTTAAAACAGGATCAGAGATGAGAGACGGGCTTGACGGAGTCCATCCTGCACAGGATCGAGCGCGACTTTGTGCCAAAGAAGCAGACACAACTTGATTTGGTGTTCTGGGACTGGATAGCCCTAAACCAGTGGTGTAGTCTACGTGATACTCGGGAATACGGAGTATACCCACTGGAAAAGCTGAATAATTTCAGTATACCCACTTAAAAGTGCCCAGTGATACAAGACTTGTCATTAGGCGCGTGCCACTGGTACGTTAAACGGCAGTTAAACTCTTCCGTAACTATCTATCGGTATGCAGCGCTTTGCTTTGAAACCGTTTTACATGTTTTTAATACAAAGCCAACTAGTTTGTTCATTTATTCAAATATAAGCATCAGAGAAATTTGGAAATGTGCAATATGCTTAAAAATCAAAATAAATTGATGATTAAATTGAACTAACCAGTGTACTGTGGTTTCTAATCACAGTATACCCACCACAAAAATGTAGACTACACCACTGCCTTAAACGTACCCCCTACAAATTCTCTTGGGGGGTCACAGTTGATCGTTTCTCCAGACCTGGATCTGGAGAATGATACTCCGACGCCCCCCTCAGCACCTCTGCGAGAGTAAAGATCTGGTCCAAAGGTCCACGATCCAGAAGGCAGCGCCTCACTGCTCCTCCAGATGTGAAGGTTCAACACGTAGCCAGAACCAGACAGACATTCTCTGGTTCCCTTCTACCTGAAACTCACATCTAGGTCTGCAGCACGTTTACTACGGGAGGGGAGTGCCACGATGAACCATCTGTTCTGTTTCCTGCCTTCAGTCATCTTTATGTAACAGAATCTGGGACAAAGGTTAAATCTAAAAATTCTTCCAAATGAAGCGTTTAATCCAAACAACCAGCAGAAATCTGCACAGGCACCTTTTAAAACCATCAGATAATAAAACGCTTAGAAAGAAAAAGTCCATTTAAAACGGTTTAATGGAAACTCTTAGGCAGCTCTGATTAGCATCTCGTTGCCGTGGTTACAGCTGATGGTTGTGGGAGTCGATGGAAATGTCCTCAGAGAGACAAGTCACGCCTGGACACACAACCGTCTCACACACAGAGTCAGTAAACAGAGCCAGCCGAGCGTGTCGGTTCAGAGGAAAAGACCCAGAAACACACGACGACGTGCTCGTGATAAAAGATTCAGTCTGTTGAGCGCGTCCGCGACAGACGTTCCCACAAAACTTCATATCCGACCCAAGGTTCCGGTCAGAACCACAGACGGACTTAATAATCTCACTTGTACTGAAAGATTTGGTTTCAGTGGTAACAACGATCCAATCACTGGCGTCGCAACAATTATATGTGAAGGGGACGTGTCCAGGGCTTAATCTGAGCCGGATCCTGCCGGAACAGGATCCAGGACCTCTCTTATTTTGACAGGGTGCGTTCCAGTAACTCTTCGCTTGGATCCAGTAACTCTCAGGCTTCCTAATAATAAAATTATGAAAAAATATGACTGCCTTGAACGAATTAAACTTATATTGGATATGTAAACTGAAAATCATTACATAAACACTCATTTTAAACACAACGGCCTCGTTACGAGCAGACGATCTGCCTCTTCAAGTAGCATTTCCGCATCTACCCTTAAAAAAATCTTCGCCCCTAAAGGAGTGGTGGAGGCGAGTGCAGAGCTAACCAGGCAGCCGCAGGCAGGCGTCTGGAGGTTCACATGTGGAGTCGGACAACAACGAGCAGGGAGAACCGAGCCCGGCTTACTTGACGGTTCCGTCAAGTAAGTGGGAGGGGGTGCAGAAGTGGAGTGTTTACATAAGTAGGTAGAATAAATGTAGATGTTCAACAACACGTTCAAATAAACCAAAATGCAGGAAATCACATCTACTTTATTAAAAGTTTTCTGAGGGAGGACCCCAGGTCCCCCCCAGTCTGCCTGCTACCTGCATTCTGGCATCAGTTGGTTCACAAATTAAGTCCTGGATGTGCCCCCCCCCCCCACCCACACACACATTGACCATGAAATATCAGTTCACCCAGCACCGTTTCTTTCTTCATGAACGAATCCATTCCACTTGATCAATGGGAGAATATTCAAACCAGTAAAAGTCCACTCCGGGTTTTCCTGATTACCTACAACAGCATGCAGAGTTTCCCGAGGTCGTGTGCCTTTGGCATGACGCTCATATACGAGGGGTTTTTATCGATGGGGCAGGGGGAGGAGACACATCTGTGTTGCGCACTAGCTTAGCGCTACGTTAATGCCGGCGGTTATCGACCTGGGGGGCACAAGGAGGTCTTACTACTAGCTACTAGTAGTGCCACGCTCTCTAAAATAGTTACTGAATCAAGTGTGTACTCATGTAGGTAAACGTAGATGTTTAACAATTCGTTAAATACACCAGGATGCAGGAAACGGCATCTACTTTATCCAAAATTTCTGAGGAGGGGGAGATGGACTGAAGGTCTTTCCTAGTCCCATCTTCACTCTGTGAAGGAGGACAACTAAGGGCGAGACTGGACTGAAGCTGAGTGAACAAACAGCCGAAGTTCTAACTAAACTTTTGAAAGACGTTCAGAAAGTTTGAAGAACTGTTGATTAATCCACTTTAAACAGAAAACAAAGAGTCTGTCTGCCTGCAAGCAGCAACATAAAGAAATGGAGGCTGCTTTAAGACTTCTGCACAGTTCCGTTCATCACTGACTCACCTTTTGATCGGAATAAAACCGTTTGTTTACCGGACCGTGCCAACAATACTCCTTCCTGTGGGTTCTGTTGTTCCAGAACGTATTAATGTTGACTCAGCGTTGTGCCGTAGAATAAAACGGTCACCTGACGCCCGCTGTCGGCACACAGAGCGGTGCGTGGACCGTGTCGGACCCTGAAAGGCCTTTGTCTCGTGTCTTTAGTCCCCGCTCGGAGACGCTTCCTGTGAACGGGGAGTCCTGTGTTGACTCACCTCATTTCCATGCATGTTGGCCACATATTTGAATTCTGGGATTCCAACGGTGTGACGGCGAGGGCTGACGCCCAGAGCTAACACCCACAGCTGCTGTCCTGAGGGAGGAGAGGAGAGACAGCTCTCAGGACGGGACGGGACAGGACGGGACAGGACGGGACGCTTTGTTTTTACAGCGGCTCTTTTTCATAAAACACAAAGACAGATGTGTGGTTGAGTGTGTTTGCACACAACAGCAGGACATGCAGCTGTTTTAGCAGCAGAGGAACATCAGGAACCAAATCGAACAGAGAAACTGCAGTTCCTGCAAAAAAGCAGTGAATGCTCAATGCAGAAGAACTTGCTGAAAAACTGCTGAAATTAGCTAAAAACTTGCTGAAATGTCGCTGAAAGGTACATGCCTAAACTAGGAGAAGAAAGCAGAGAGAACACATCTTTGCTGAATTAGGTTTAAATAAGCCGAAATGAGAACAAAAATTAGGAAATTGGCTAAAAAAGCTGAAATTAGCAAAAGTAGCTGAAAATGCCGAAAGAAGCTTAAACTTTAAAAGGAAGTGAAAGGAGCTGAAGTGAGCTAAAAAATATGGAATTAGTTGAAAAAGCTAAATTTAGCACAAAACAAGTAAAAAGTAGCTGAAATAGCAGAAACGGTTGAAGCTAGCAGAAAAAAAGCTGAAAGGAGCTTAGCAAGCTGAAATTACTAGAAAGAAGTTAATTAGGCTGAAAGTAACAGAAATAACATTGAATTTATATGAAAACAGCTGAAATGAGCTAATATGCTAAAAAAAGTAGCTGGATATGTAGAACAAGCTTAAACTAGGAGAATAAAGCAGAAAGAACATGTTTGTTTGAAGAAACAGAAATGAGCACAAAAAACTGAAAAAAAGTTGGAATTAAGCAAAAAAAACGCTGAAAAGTAGCTAAAGAAGCAGAAAGATGCTTAAATTACCAGAAGGAAGCAGAGAGAGCACATTTTTTGATGAATAAGGCTGAAGAAAGTTGAAATAATGGCAAAAGATGTAGAATTAGCTGAAAAACTTAAAATTAGCATAAAACAGTTAAATAGTAGCTGAAATAACTGAAACTAGCAGAAATAAGCTGAAAGGAGCATAACAAGCTGAAATTAGCAGAAAGAAGTTATATAGGCTGAAAATAGCAGAACGGAGCAGAAAAATTGGAAATGATCTGAAAACAGATGAAAAGTAGCTAAAAGAGCAGAAAGAAACTTAAATTACAAGATGGAAATGGAGAGAGCACGTTGCTGCTGAATAAGGCTGAAAAAAGTTGAAATGAGGTGCAAAATATGTTGAATTAGCTGAAAAAAGCTTAAATTAGCATAAAAACAGCTAAATAGTAGCTGAAATTGTTGAAAAGGCTGAAACTTGGAGAAATAAGCTGAAAAAAACACAAGCTGAAATTAGCCGAAAGAATCTGAAAGGAGCACAAAACAGCTGAAATTAAATGAAAGTAGATGTTTTTTTTTTATTTGCTGAAAGAAGCTGAAAGAAGCTGAAAGAAGCTGAAGCAGAACAAAATGTGAAAGGAGCAGTAAAAGGCTGTAAACACATCTAAACATTTGAAGGATGAAAAATGAGCTCAGTTCATTTTCTTTGAGAAGAAAATGGCAGAAAAGGTTAAATATTTCAAAAAGCTAAAGTTACATTAATACCAAAAGTTATAGCAGGATTGTTCTGAAAAAGCTGAAGGTTTTGATTCATGATTTGTTGAAATAGCTGAAAACTGCTGGACAAGAAAAATGTACGGAAGAAAAATGGATCTGTTGGAGCTGAAAGTATGTCTTGTGGACGACTGTCAGCTACTTCCACGCCAACATTTAGCTCAAATGCCATAAAACTCACGGAGACGCAGCCGTTTTTGTGTTGGATAACAGTGATTAGCTACAGCGGCCATCTTGAATGAAGATGATTTTAGGTGCACGTCCTATGATTTCTTCCAGCGTCATTAACATCTGCCCAATGGTTCATGAGATATTTAGCTAACAGACAGGGAACCAAACACACACACAGGCAGGGAACTACAGGATCACCTGCTGCAGTAAAACGGGGGCGATCATGTAACCGCTGTGCTCGTTAGAGCCAACAGAACTCGTTGAACTGGACCCACCTTCCTCAACCTGACAGATAATTAAATTCTGTTTTACTGAAATGGAACAAACATTTTTAAATCTCTTCACTCTGAAGTTGCTCTTTGAGTAAAATGTTGTCGTCTGCAGCTTTAAAGTTTCGACTCGTTGTAATCCAGATTAGTAAAAGAAAACTCTGAAACAAAGTGTCAGAGCAGGAGTTTCCAGAAGGTCAACGCTCGTCAAGCCTCGACACGCAGCCGACACGCAGCCGACACACAGCCGACACACAGCTGTGACTCACGGCGAGGACAAGTCCACGTCCCTCGGCAGGAGGACGAGGCCAGGACACCAACAGGTTGGAACTGGGCCAGCTGGTGTTCCGGATTAGCCCAGATTAACAGTCTGAGAGGGTGTGATTAGCCTGATTAAACCACCCCAGATTAAATAAACCACCATCATTAGATTGCACGAGTAGACGCTCGGTCCAAGAGCCGTTTCCATGGAGACGGACGCCTGATACACACCTGCAGACCGCCATCCTGAGTGAAGCGACCCGGTTCACGCTCGAGACGTCGAATTAAACAAACAGGAACATTTGGGTGGAAAAGGTCTCGACACCGCTAGCTTAAATCCAGATATTTCTATTTTAAAGATGTTTCTCTACAAGCTTTAAAATGTCCAACTCACATGCAAATCACTCTCCCTCCCCTCCCTCCGGAGGGTCGTCGGGTTTTTGGGAGGGGTAACAGGAAACAGGAAGTGTTTACCTCTGACCGTTGTGCCGATGCTGTACAGGTGAGCGATGTCGGGGTTGGAGGCGTTGACCTGCAGCAGGTACTGCTCGATCTCACCGTTGCTATGGTAACGGAACTCCAGCATGTAGGCGGGGCCGAGGAGGAGGAGGAGGAGGAGGGAGGGTGACATCGCTGCACCTGAGGACACGGAAGATGAAGATCAAACTGGTGAATTTCTTCACTTTTATCCAGAACAAACTTTAAATATCAGAGTTTAAAAAAAGCCTCTTGTTGTTTTATTTGTTGTTGTTTTGTTTGTTTACACTAATCTTCACTTCCTGTTGGGCTTAAAGCCGGAAGCGGTGTTTGAAACATCGTCTCCTCTCCTGCACTTCCTGTTTACGCAAACTATAAACAAACAACTTTTAATAACCTCGGACAAACAGAGACCAGAGTCTGTGACGGCGTCCGCCATGTTCATTCAAATGTAAACAACGTTTGTTTACATCCAACTCTGTTCATCTGGATTGGATTTGGAGTTTGTTTATTTTTATAATCAACAGACTGAACTGGATCATAATAAACTGGAATAAATTAGAATTAAACTCGCTTTAAGGCACTTGATTCACCTCGAAATGATTTAGGTTTAAATTATTTTTGAGAATGACTCTCAGCAACTACCACGCACACGTCTGTAAAAGTGACTGAGTTGGAGCCGTTTAAAGAGTTGGCTGGGGCGGCCATCTTGAACTGGGTCGGCAGATATGGGTCAGAAGATATTTGACTAACAGACAGACCATTCAGGCCACTGAAGATAAACAATAAACATCTTACCTGTTGTAGATGGCTCTTTGAACGACCTCAGTTTGGAGCGTGTTGAGGTTAACGAGCTAACGGTTAATCTGAACGAAGAGAGCATCGGAAAAAAACTTCAGTCTTCAACATAGAGACATTAAACGTTTACACGCGGCTCTTTACCCAAGACTCTGGGCTTGTTTACGAGCGCGGCAGCAGCTAGCCGTGCCTCTTCAAGGCGGCGTGGAGAGAAAACGTTCAACTGGAAGAACCGTGGATTTTAAACAAAGTTTAAATGAAAACATCTGAATCAACAGCGACGGAACGTTAAACACTACCGTTGTTTCCAAACACTTCGTTAGCAGCGCCGCTCGAGCTAGCCATTAGCTTGTTGATGCGGTTTCCATTCATCCAGAAACAGATGCTGTCGTCTTGAAACAGCTAAAACCCTCAAAGCTTCATGGTCGTTCATGGTAACGCCCCATAAACCTTTTAATCGCCGCCAGTTTCACAAAACGAGGTTACTTGGTGTGTAGCAACAGCAGCTAGCTGTAGCACTTGCTGCAGGAATACTTTAATATTTCTGCAGCAATAACAGTTTAATGTAAAAGTTTATAAATCTTGAGTGTGACGAGCAGCCATCCACTCTGGTCTTCACTACGTTATAATAATAATAATAATAATGAATTTAATTTGTAACGCACTTTTCATTAACAAAAATCTCAAAGTGCTACTATTATATTGTTAATCGGGTGAGAATTAAACTTTGTTTTATTAGTTTCCACTGAACCTCATCCCAACATGGTGGAAATATCCCTTTAATATTTTAACTTTCTGTGGTTTGAAGCAGAAACTGTCCGGGTTCCATTTCCTCTCATGGTGGCAAATATATAAAATAAAATCACAGAATAAACCAGTAAACAAACCATGTATACGCAAATAAACTTTTTTTTTAAATCGCAACAAACCTAAAAAACAAAAATAAATTGATCTGAAACAGTTTATTAATAATAGTTATATTTATTCTTAGAAATTAAACCGTATTTGAACAGTTTTAACTCCTTAGTGATTAAAACCTGTGGTAACATTTTATTTTGCTTGCGTTAAATGAATAGTTAATCAACTGCTTTAGTTTTTATTTGCTATTTAAAAAGTGTTTTACAGTAAATATTAATAAAAGATAAAATAACAGCAAATAGTCTGTTTGCTAATAAAGCTGTATTTTAATATAAATGACATTAAACTTTTTACTTTCTTCCATCAGGTTCTGTGCAGCCCACATGGTTCTGATCATTTGTTAATAAATTTGGAGTTATTAAAAAAAACAATTACACGTAAACCTAACAAAAATTAAAATAACCTGCTTTAATTTTATGCATTTTTGAGCATTTAAATGACAACAAGTCTATAAATGTGTAAAAGTTATTAGTTATTTAAGAAGAAGAATTTAAATAATTGATGGATTCCTGTTTGGTGTAAATAATTCTCACACCAATAATTAAAACTAATAATAAATTATTGAAATGTTTCAGATTGGACCTTTAATGAACTGCAGATCCTGTAAGAGACGATAAAAACACAGAATCCCGGCGGTTCTGACCCGGTTCCTGAGGACCAGAACCACCAGAAGTGAACTCAGAACTCGTTCATATTCGACTGAAAGGTTTTTTAATCGGTTCAACCGGAACTCTGATCGATTAAAGACAGAAATGTCTCACCTGTCCTCCCCCTGTCGCGTGTCCCCGCGGCTCAAAGACACCGGCGAATACCGGCAGACGGAGAGGGGGCGGTACTTATCCTCCACCGGGACCGCCCAGCCTACGTCCCTGGGGGCGGGGCTTTTTAGAATGGGCGTTATGTCAGTGATGGGCGGAGCTTAGCGCAGCAGAAAGGTGCAGACGCACGTGGAGATAAAAACAAAACAAAAGTAGAAAATGTGGCGATTTCAAGTAACTGAACATGGATTCATTTATTTTTGTGTCAACGTGAGCGAAGAAACAACGAGAATCAACTTCTTTTCGACTGACGTGTTTTCACGTGACAACATTTTACAAGTGATTGTAGAAAAAAACAAAAAAAAAACTGCTTCCAAGAAATTTAAATTTGGCAAATCAACTTCATTTATAAAGTAATTTATAATGTTTCTGCAAATTTGCGTCCAGTTCCTTCAGTTTATCTAACTGTAAACAAGTTTACTCATATTCACATCCTGTTTCCTCAGTTTAGCAAACTACACCAAATATTTGAACCTTGTTTCTTTAGTTTAGCGAACTGTCCACATTTATTTACATTCTGTTTCTTCTATTTAATTACCCCTGTCCTTCTTCACATCATTTTATTAAACTAACTATTGATAATCAACATTATTCTGATTAAAAACAAGCAACATATTGTTTGAGTTCAGTGAAGTTGCACAATAATTTAAATAATTTAACTTGTTAAATCATAAACTTTACCTCTGTTAAACGGCACAGAAAACATAAATTAGACAATAAGCTTCAGCTTTATTTTAACTGAACAGGTACTTGTGGTCAGTTAACACTGACGTCTACGAACAGTCTACAAAACAGAAGCCAGAAGAAAATACAGTAACTGCATGTTTGAGTGGAAACAGCCCGGAGACTTTAGTCTTTGTTGGAATGTAGAAACTAACGGCAGATTCTCCAAAAGGTGGAGAAAACGCTGAGTCATCGTCTACACAAGTCTTCATTCAATTCAATTCAAATTCAAAAATACTTTATTAATCCCAAAGGGAAATTAAATGTCGTAACTCGTTATCCTTGTTTCATTAAAAGATGTTATAGATGCTGATGGCTGTAGGCAGGATCTGTTGTAAAGGTCCATCCCACAGCGGATCCGAAGGAATTGGCCGCAGATAACGTCCGATCCGTCCACCCAGACTCGTGCAGCCTCTCGGTTCCCCCGGGCTGCAGGGCCGCCTGAATGCAGAGCTCCTCGTCGCTGTGGACAGCTGGCTGCAGGCGTCGGGGGAACGACGATCTCGGTCCTTCTGTTACGAGGTACGTTTCCTGCTAGTTCCAGGATCGCAGTGATCAGGCACTCAAGCACAGCCGGAACGGAGACGGGAATGCGTCTACGGGGCCTCCTTTTCAACTCGTTTGAGAGTTGGAGCTGTAGCTGAGATATAATTAAAACTTTTAAGGTGTTAATCAGCTGCTCCCGGTTGTAAAAACACCACGTTGTCATGGTTACACATCATAACAAATGTCCAAAACTAAAAAAGTTCAATTAAAAATCCTTCCAGCCGCACAACATCTGATACCAGAGGAAACAATCATCACAAAAAATGTGATTTACATCCAGAAAAAGAGGAATTAAAGTTTCCTAAAGCAAAACCTGTGGAAGGATGTAAGAGATACTCCAACGTGCAGCCACCTCGAGCGGTGCAATCGTCTTCCATCAAGGAGGATGTTTGTGTTCACTTGATGGTCGCACATTTTTTAAATATTGGTTGATGATGCAATTGCCCGAATCTGTGTTCATTTTTCAGTCTGTTAGCAAAATAACCCATGAATCACAGATCAGAAGGTATCATTGGCTCTGACTAACTGCTGGTGTCCTCTGAGCGATGGCCGCCACAGCTAGCTGACCTTACCAAACCCAACAAGAGCGCCGCGTCAACAAGCCAAGACCTGGTTTTAAGTTTGACCTTGACCTTAAAGCTGGGCTGATAAAAAAAATATTGCGCAACAGTCCATTCTAGTGATGATGCACAGGTGTGTCGATGTTTGTCAAATTTTCCTGAGCGGCTCAGAACTTGTGGGCTAGACAAGAGAAAGTTTACGAACAGACGACCAAGTTCCCAGAGTTGGTCCATATAGTGATAAGAATGGGTGCAGCTCAGTCTCTGGTACAGGTACTGAGGTAACATGTGGTACGGTCGTAGCTCAGAGTCAATCCCACGCGTGTTCCCATCAGATCATGTGACATCTCGGTCATATCCAAGTTATTTTAAAGGTTTGACGAGAACGCTCGAATCGTAACTGTTTTTCCACATCAGATGACATCACTTTCAAACTGTGGCATTAAAGACGGCGGGTGATATAAAACCCTTCAGGGATTTGATTCTGTGCCAAGACGTCACGTTAAGTTTTAGAACTAAACGCCAGTGGAGTCACAATGATCTTGTAAGGAACTCTCCAACCTTCACAGATAAACGCGCTGGTTTGTGGATTTAGTCTTTACACCATTTGTGTCCATTTAAAAACTGAACACGCAAATGAACAAACTGTCTTTAACTCACCCCGTTGTCTGTTCAACTGGTGCGTTCATTTCCTTTCTCTGATCCAGACAAGGGTTTCAGGGCGCCGGCCTTCGTTGCTGCGAGGGGCTTGGTCCAGCCTGGACAGGTCAACAGTCCCTCACATGTTCACTCAGGG